ACCATGGCACGCGGTTCATAAAAAAAACGCGGTCCCCCGTAACGCCTAGTTTCTCGCGGTTGAAAAACTCACCGCGGTCCACCGAATTTTTATGCGAAAAAAATACTCATGGGTGTACTTTAAAATTTCACTTTGTTTCTAATTGAGAAACATATCACCGTGATGTGGAAATAAATTCAATGCAGAGTAGGTGGCAAGCGTATTTTCGGGTTCAACACAGCTGATAGTTTACGAATTCTTCCTTTTGGATGAGGCATATCGCCAAAAGTTTGAGAAAATTTTCTGAAACTTTTGGCAGTACGTTGGGCTAAAAATGGTAGTTATTAAAAATCTAATTTTGTATACACAGTTGAGGAAAACTTCAAAAAATCTACTTTGTTGGTTAGAAAGTGGAGAGATTTGGGTATACGGCGGATAAACGATATTCTACTCTAAATTTATTTTTAAGATAACTTTAATAAACCTTTACATATTTACTACGGCTTTTAGCATAAAATTAGCACTAGATTCCGTAATTTTACTGAAAAATATTACAAGTCTCAAAACTATTTGCACTCTTTTGTGTCTAAATTGAAGTTTGATAGTAATCCAAATTTTACTAAAGAAAAATACGACAAACACTTTACAATTGCCAGGTTGCCTCGGACCACTAGAAGCCGATTTTGAGGTCAGTTCTTTTCATCAGAAAGCTCCTGGAACTATTATGTTCGGGTCATCTTTCAACTGAGCTGGTAGTGGACATGAGTTCTTATTGATCAGACAATCAGTGCTGTTCTTTTTATACTGCATGATCTGATCAGAGCTCCGAACCAGGTCATAGGATCGTTCAATAGAGCATGTTAATTTGGAAAAACGTTTAAAAATACTAGTGAGCTAACTCATCCCGGCAGTAAAACTCATACCTGGTATTGATATGACACAACAGTAAATTTTATTTTATCTTGTTTCCATGTCTTGTGCATTGTAAATCACTAATGGAATAACCGTTGAAATGTTCTTTCAATTTTTTTTACGTGAGCATCTTATTTTATACTTGGTTTTACTTTCTTTTCGTATGCGACAACTGAGAATGAGCCTCTAGCATTCCAATAGCAATACACATGTATCTAAGGTTTATTCTATTGACGACATTTGCTTTACATTTGTCACATTTTCTTTCTCTATAGAAGAAAAAAGAGGCAAGAGAACGGTTACATTCTAGCATTTTCCTCTTCAGAAAAAAAGAAAAAATGTCGCTGAGATTCAGTTTTAATTTTAGTACAAATAAAAAGGTGTATTGTTATATTGATCCTCATTCTCATTAAGTACAAATAATTGAGTACTGGTATCCTGTGGAAATTATTTTTGTTTTATTTTCGGTTATCTTGTTGTCTGGATTTATTTTATCATACGTGGAAAAAGTTTTTTTTCTTTAATTAATTATAAACAGGCAGGTCCGATGAAAAATTTAAAATAAAAGTAATCGATAAGAAGTTCTAATTCTTTTCCTATTTTGCTAAACTATGCAGTCTTCGAGTCACAAAAAAAGATACAATAAATCAGTTAAGGGTGCGTTGAATAAAACAACGCTGCTGTTATAAGAAAGAGAGTCATTGTCTCGTGACTGTTGTTTTATTGACAGAGTAGTTTATTACCATGGTATAAAATTAGAAACGTTCAAATTCTTTATAGTGGTGAGATGTTGGTTGCGTACGAAATGTATTCTCCAACAAAATACTCGTTGTCATCAATAGTGATTTGGGCTGTAAGGAGATCTTCATTGTTCGTATTACTCTGGGATGGTAAATGACTTCCAACGTAGATTTTTATTGAACATGGAATAATCATAAAACCTTTGTTGTCAATATAAACAGCCATTTGTTCTTTTGTTATTATTGTTGACATAAGTACATGAACATTCGGTGATACATCAGTAAGTCGTTCAAAACTAACTAATTGAAATTTGGATGTAATTAAACTTGTATTCTGTGGAAATATGCTTACATACACTTGCACAATTTCATCAGATCGATATGGTCCATTATTCAACACACGAAAATAGATCTCGACACTGTCGCCTGCTTTGACTTTCGTTGAATCGGTTAAATTTGTTGTTAAATCATGATAGGAAAATATTGAATAAGATAAACCGTGACCGAAGTTATACAACGGCTGTGTAGTATTACTATAATATCGATAGGTGAATCCATGCATATTATAATTTGTTATACTGGGCACATCGTCGATTTTAACTGGCCATGTGTAGGGTAAACGACCAAATTTTGATGAAACCTTGTTATCATGGATAAAAAGTGCTGTTCTTAATGCAAGACCAGTTTCTTGAGCAGGAAAACCTAATTGTATTATACATGGAATATTTTTAGATTGTTGAGCTGATTGAATTTGTAATGGCGTTGCAGAAAATAATAGTAATATTATTGTTGTACGAGAAGCACTTGTATATGTAATCGTATCATCTAATAATTGTTGTTGATAATTTGGTAAATTCATTGTTTGTCTATCACTACCTTCACTTTCGATTATTTGGCCAGTTCCCAACGACAGAAATATTAAATCATATTCACCTTTGCTTAATAGGTCAATTGTCTTGTTTTGATTGTAATTCAAACATACATTGCCATCCACACATGCGTTCTCCCAAGCCACATTGCAAAATAAATCTTGTAAACCGCTCAATGGTGTTGTTGTATAAAATATATCGAGAATAGGTGAATAATCACCAAATTGTTGTATTGGATTATTGCTCATTGGACCAAGAAAAAGAACTTGTTTAAATTTATCTACATTAGTAATTGGTAGAACGTTTTGATCATTTTTAAGTAATACAAATGATTGTATAGCTGCTGTTAGCGCAAGATTCCGATGTTCGTCACTTTGTATGATATCCACTGATATTTGATTATACGGATTCATTTCAATTGGATCAAACTCTCCTAAACGCATTCTTGTGTAAATTAATGGTCGAACTCGATCCGTCAACGTTTTATTTTCAATTTTTCCTAGTTTATACGAGTCATGCAATGTCAAAAAAGCGGTATCACCAAGTGAAATAGCCAACTCTAGATTTACACCGTTATTTAAAGCTAATAAAGCAGCATCTGCCACAGTCTGTGTATAATTGTGTTCATAGACAATATTAACAATTGCATTAGCATCCGAGACTACATAACCAACAAAATTCATTTTATCACGCAAGATAGTTTTCAATAGTTTTTCATTGGCACACGCAGGAAGTCCATTTATTGAATTATAAGAACACATCACACTGTACACACCAGCATCAACACAAGCTTTAAATTGTGGAAGAAATGTTGATCGCCAGTCGTATTCTGAAACAACAGCATCAAATGAGAATCGAGATACAGGATAATTTTCTGGTCCATTATGAACATCATAGTGTTTACAACCGCCATTTGTGTTTAAATAACGTTGATGATTTCCTTGTAAACCACGAACGTAGTTTGAAGCGTAAACCCCCGACATATATGGATCTTCCCTAAATAGATAAAAATAATGCACATGAATGATAACCATTGCCGTACTTACCCATATGTTTCCTGGTTTCTACCCCATAACGGATGTCTCATAATATTAATAACCGGTGAAAAACAAGACAAACCTCGATGAACACCATATTTTCCCTGCTTTTGATAAGCGTTAAAATGACCATGAACTTCGTAAGCTGTTGCGTTTCCTACTGCGTATAATAAATTTTTATTCCATGTTGCTGCAAGATTAATGGCTTGTAAAAATCCTGTGGAATTTTCATTAAGTTCACCTCGAAGACATTCTGTTGCCCAAGAGTACGGTTTGATATTTAATCGTACAATAGACGGGGTGACTCCTTCATCCCAACCTCCACCATAGGCTAATTGATCGATGATTTCATCAGGTGTTAGACGGGAGATAAGATCATCAACCCTCACCGACCAGTCTAATGATACATTACGAAATGGATAATCCTGCGAGTGCGAGAATCTTAGTACAGAATTCAAGACTAGCAGTATTATATGAGAGTATTGTGCCATTTTTAACTGAAAGTTTATATATTCTTATTTTTTCTTATTCTTTGTTAAAATTCCTCTGTGCCTTTTGCAATTGAAGAAAAGGAAAAAAGTTGTAATTTGTTTCAAATTTTGTTCACATCAAACGTTTGCTTTTGTAAAATGCCTCGTGTTTTTATGTATTAATAGAAGGATAGAGAAAACAGAAATGAGGCAGATGACTCACACTAAGCATGCATAATTTTAAATTGAGTTATTTTTTTAGAAATTAATTATTAGCTTCAAACCAAGTGGTAATGTTTCACCAAAAAAATAGAATTATAAACAGATCTAAACATTTAGTCGTATTCTTTCAAAATATTCCTGAGACATTTAAAAGTGAGAGAACTAATAATTAATCTCTAAAAAAATAACTCAATTTAAAATTATGCATGCTTAGTGTGAGTCATCTTTCTCATTTCTGTTTTCTCTTTCCTTCTGATAATACATAAAAATACGAGGCATTTTACAGAGTAAACGTTTGATGTGAACAAAATCTGAAACAAATTACAACTTTTTTCCTTTTCTTCACTTGAAAAAGGCACAGAGAAGGAACTTTAACATAGAATCAGAAAAAAATGAGAATATACAAACTTTCGGTTGATTTCTAATATTTAATATAAAGAAAATGGAAGAACAGCTTTATATATATGAGTTATTCTGAGAAAAATAGTACCGTTCGCACGACGTAAATGGTCCTAAGCGTTTCTCCTCTTAGACTAGATGAAACAATTTCGCATTTCTCGAATATACTAGTAGATGTTAGACCTATAATCGCTGCAAATATAGCTTTTCTATCTTTAACTATTAACGAGTTAGAAGCAAAACGTCTATGTCTAACCGTTATTCTGCTGTTTACTTTCTTCTGGTTTATATGAGTCACATTGTGTAAATGTTATTTTTCTCTGTTATTTAGTATAGAATAATATTTTTTTCCCTTCTCTTTATTCATTTTTCTAGAATTTCTTTCGCTCTATTCAGCTACACCATTATTTTTGTTCCCAGTATTGCAGGGTTTTACTCAAACTTGTTCAGAATTCTTGGTTTCAAAATCCAGTTTTTTTGTCCCGTAACCATGTGGTTTTGGGCAGCCCTGATAAGTTATTTGGTCCTCATTTTTCTTATGATTAAAATTGAGTAAATATGTTGAATGGATAGCAGCGAAAACTGGATGTCTCTGTCACTTTTCGCTACCGTGCAATTCACGCTTTACTAATGTTCGGTTCGGTTTGACCAACAACTTGTCCCGTAGCCATCCACTATATCACGCCTCAACCGAACATGATAAAAAGTTTGTCTTTTTATCACAAGTGTAGTCTACCGACACAATGATCCTGTAAAAAGGACAGAGACTGAAATTGCTTTATAAGGGAGTAAACTAGAAAATACTAGGAAATGTCCCGTAACCGTTTTCATTTGATTTTTTCTTCTTGTAACTTTAACGTAACACGCGCGAACAAATTCATATTTTTAGTATAAAGGTTTTACAGTGTGGAGAGTTTATGGATGTGCATACACAGCGTTCAAATGGGTGAAAAAAGGGTTTCTGAAAATCCAGGATTTCAGAAAACTAGCCATACTGGAAGTTTTGTGAAGCCGTTTTTGAGTATAAGAGTAGATGGAGCACACTTTGTAATCTATAATTATGTACTTTTAGAATAGTCTCAGTTATTTATATATGAAAATCAACAGAGGAGATCTTATCTCCCTGCATTCAAAATCCATGGTATTTAGAAAATCTAGGACACAGGGAAGTGATACCACTACTAGGTACCCACTACCGACATATGATATTCAATTGCCCAAACCTTTACTTTTTCTTTTTGTCAAATTTTTGGCNTCAAATTTTTGGACATAAACAGTACTATTTTTATCAGAATCACTCATATATGTCAGCTTATACTTACGCAGTCACAGATGGAGATGAAAATCAGGGCCCACAGAGTGTGTTCCCGCTTCTGATCTTCCTTAAGATATTATCATTTTATTTCTTTCGATTATACTAAGTAACGAAAGAAAATGGATTCCCTCTAATTACTTAAAGTAAAAAAAAGGATAAGTAAAAGTTTCAGATTTAGCTGATTAATACACTTGTTTTAGAGTAAGCTAGACCGATTATAACGTGAATGCTTTAGCCATGAAGTTGATATATTTCCCTAACTTTGATAAGTCACAACTTAGAAACGTGTATTATGTAAAGATAGTGTTCGTGACCTAATTGAATTAATGTCATTTTAGTACCGAATGATGACCGTGTAGTAAACGGGAGCTTTCTGTCTGTCACAGTTAAATTGTTTCAGATCGCGACTTCGGCTATAAAAATAGTCTTTAAGTGAAAAACTAAGAGAAATTTTCATTTGATTTCAACATATGTAGCAACTTCACAGTGCGACTGACTGACGGGTTCGTCTTGTTTGTGTCTGTGTTGTGCACTGTTCCATAGCAATAATTTTCTTACGCAGTGAAAATTCAGATTCTAAATACGACAACATACACCCAGGAGGTCGAAAACGGTGACCGCATTTTGCCATTATAACCGCGAACGTTAAAATGCATTTATTTCGCATTTTTTTTAATGTCAGAAAACGGTCAAATAACATGCATTTAACTACTGTCGGTCACATTTTCTTTGCCATTTAAATATCAATTTTTAGACTTAGAAAATGTAAAAAAAATATATTTTGAAACCTAAGATACTATCGGCTGCACCGATCCAAGAACCACAGACTACTTCTTCAAGGCAAGTTTCTATGGTTCGTATACTTGAAGAAGAAAAAAACTCTAA